ATTGTTTTGTTTTTACCAAAAAAAAATAATATATGAAGAATTATAATTCTTCCATTGACGTGGAAAAGCTAATAAAATATTACAAATATTAATTTATTATTATTATAAAATTATATACAAAATAAAAGTATCATCAATAACCCAAACAATATAAATATTGGATCGGATTTTCTAAAATCGGCATAGCTTTACTTGTAAATAAGAATAAATGAGTGTTTCAATCAATAAAATAAAGAAAAATTTAAAATTGATTAATCATCAATAATACACTTGCTCACTATATTAATTCATTTTTTAATTAATTTCTTCGTATTTTAAAAAAACTATAATAAATTCTAATTATTCTTATAATAAATTCTAATTATTCTTATAATAAATTCTAATTATTCTTATAATATCAAAGGTAAAAAAATTATTTAATTGAAGTGATAAATTTTATAAAAAACTAAATGAAAATAATTAATAATGTCTTATAAGGATATTTTTGGTTTTAAAACTAAATCAATAATTTTTTCAAAAATTAACCAGTTACTTTCTACATCAAAATAGGGTTTTTGGAACAAAAAATGATTATACCATATTTTTACTAAATTTTATATAGAATTTTACATGAATAAATAGTCCTGAAATACTAGGTTAATTTAAATTATAATTATTTGTTTTAAGTTATGATAAAATATATAATATGTAGAGCGAGCAAAATCAGATTAGTGATATCGGTTATTTGGCCGATATCAATATAATATCTGCAATATCGTAGCGGATTAACCCCCTAATCGGTACACCTGTAATTATTAGATATTCGGTGATATTTTTATAAATTAATTTGTTTTATCATATAGAATTTCAATAAAATGAACAAAAATCTTATTCGAAAAACTAGATGCTGTAACCCTTTTAAAATACTAAAACATAATAATGTAACTACAAATCTTAGAAATGTACAATCTTGGATGTCACTTCACTCAGATGATAAGATATGTGATAAATGTCGAAGAAAACTCGGAACAGCTAGTAAGTCAAATGACGCATTTAAAGACCCTGATATTCATAATATCGAAGAGAACCTGGCTTATGAATCAATTAATACATCATTGATAGAAATTGGAGAATCTCCAATAAAAAAGAAAAGGTTGAGAGAAAAAAGATATCCAATTAAAAAAATTACCAAAATAAAAAAGGCTAAAGAAACTCATTTAGATATAAATGCGATTGAGCCAGCTACTATCGATAAAGATGATGGTATTCTAAGCAATATTAAAAAAAAATTTTCACTCTTATCTAAAACTGATAAATATAAAATTTTGACGATATTACCAAAGAATTGGACAGTGTCCAAAATAATGAATGAATTTAATACAACAAAATACATGGCAAGACAAGCTAAATTATTGATAGCGGAAAAGGGATTTTTATCAACCCCTAACCCCAAGCCTGGAAATACTATAGACGAATGTACAGTTAAAATTGTACAAGAATTTTATTGTACGGACGAAATAAGCAGAATCATGCCAGGCAAGAAAGATTGCCTTTCAATTTTGACACCGAAGACGGAAAAAAGAATACAATACAAAAGAGATTAATTTTAGATAATTTGAAAGAAATTTATATATTTTTTAAAGAAATGAGGCCTGATGTTAAAATCGGTTTTTCGAAATTTGCAAGCATTCGCCCAAAAAATTGTATACTCGTAGGAGGTAGTGGTACACATAATGTTTGTGTTTGCAGCTACCACCAAAATTTTAAATTAATGATCATTGGATCAAATTTACCCAATTTAACCAAAGATGATATGTTGCCCATTAAAACATATAAACATATTTTACCCTTAATAATTTGTAATCCGCCTCAACCATCCTGTTATTTGGGCAAATGTGATAATTGTCCAGGGTCAACAAATTTACGCCACCAAATAGAAATATTGTTTCGTTCTAAGGACATCGAATTTATAACATACAAACAATGGCTTTCCGTAGATAGAACCACTCTTGAAACAATAACCAAGCCAGTAGATGAATTTATCAATGCCTTTTTTGAAAAAATGGAATCTTTATTACCCCATTCTTTTATTTCAACGCAACAATCATTGTATCAAAAAAATCTAAAATTGAACTTAGACAAAGGCCAATATTTAATTTTATGTGATTTTTAGAAAACTATAGCTTTATACTTCAGGATGAGGTACAAAGTTATCATTGGAATAGAGCTCAATCCACTGTTCACCCTTTTGTTATATATTATAAAGATAATTTAGCCAATATTTGTTGCCTAAATTATGTAATGATATCCGAATCTTTGCAACACAATACAATAGCAGTACATTATTTCCAAAAAACATTGGTAAATTTTTTAATTAATAAAATTTGTATGCCAAATAAAATTTTTTATTTTTCCGATGGATCTGCTGCACAGTATAAAAATCGTAAAAATTTTATTAATATTTGCCATCATGAGATGGATTTCGGGATACAGGCGGAATGGCATTTTTCTGCTACAGCACATGGGAAAAGTGTTTGTGATGGGATTGGTGGCACTGTTAAAAGATTAGCCGCTAGAGCTAGTTTACAAAGACCTTACTCAAAGCAAATAACCACATCATATGAATTGTACGAGTTCGCTAAAGAAAATATTAATGGCATATATTTTGAATATATGACCCAAGAAAATTATGATCACGAAGAAATATTATTCAGGGAAAGGTTTTCAAAAACGAGACCTATACCTGGAACACAGAAAATTCACACGGTGATTCCCACAGGTCTACATCAATTTAAGAGTAAAATGTATTCCAATTCAATAGAAAGTAATATAGAATATTTATCATATAATGATGAAAGTATCATTTTTGGAGAGATATCAGGGTATATAACATGTGTTTATGATTCTAATTGGTGGTTAGCCTTAGTTTTAAGGAAAAATCAAAAGGAGGAAGAAATATATATAAAGTTTTTACACCCATCCGGACCTTCTAATTCCTTTACATTTCCAAGTATAGACGACACTCTCTACTTGCCAAAATGTCATATCTTAACATTAGTTTCACCGTTAACTGCTACTGGCCGTAGTTACACATTGTCGTCACAAGAAAGTAAATGCGCTACCGAAAAATTAGAATCTTTTAAAAGTGAGTTATATATTAGATTTTAAAATTTATATTATATCAATTATTTTTAATATTTAGGGCTCCATATATGAAATGCTAAAGATTTTGATTCATATATTCAAGAAGTATAAATTTAGTTGAATATATTTTATTAATATTAATATATGTTATATTAGCAAAAAATTTTATAAAAAATTATAAATAAAGTAATAAATTGAATTTCTTTTATCGATAGGCAATTTCTATAATTGAATGAAAGCCCCATTTATTGTTATTTTCACTTACAAGATAAATACTCCTTTAAATTATATCAAATAGTCTAAGAAAAACCATTAAAAACTGATTTAAATATAAATTTATGCAAAGACGCCCCCTTTCGGGAAAATATTTATACACTTTTCTAAACATTTTTATCGATTTTGAGAATGAAGATGGCCTCGTCCCAGACCAATTTTTTTTTATAAATATAAAGGAAGAGTTCAGTGTTGTCTACTAAATTTTTTAAAAAAATTGAAGGTCGTATAATTTCTAAAAAATCGTTTTTAGTCCTTATATATTTGATAAAATGGCCGGAAATTGAAAAAAAAAATTTTTTTTTATCTAAAAGTAGAATCTTTGTACGTAATTTTAATATTAAATTTGTTATTTACAATTAGATAGTTTTTAAGATATGCTTAATTGAATGAAGGCAGATAATGGTAAAAATACGTCATTTTTGCCACTTTGAACCCTAATATCTCCAAAAATATAAATGTTATGAGGCTAAAATTTTGGCTATTTTGGCTATACACTAACCTTTCTTTGCTTACTAAATTTTGAAAAAATCGAAGGGGGTCGGCCGAAAATCTCATTTTTTTGCTCATTTGACATGGAATGACCCATTAACTGTTATTATTTACAGAACCTAACCAGAGCCATTATAAATTTTATTAGATGAACCTGAACCGAATCTCTCAAAAAGTAAGTGAACAAGTTCAGACCTTTTGATATCCCAACTCTTGTATATTCAAATATTTTTGTATATTGCTATTTAATAATGCTAACCACCCAAGTGAGCATATAGAAATATTCTCAATTGAATCTCCCTCTACTTATAAATATAATTTGAGAAAAGAGAATATTGAAAATAATAAAGTGTATAGCTTAATATAATCTTTTGGGAATAGGGAATAATTTTAACAGATGCATTTCAATTTACATAATTCTAATAAGGTTGGAAGTAAAAAAAAAAAATATACCAGTTTTTAAAGGTTCAAATTAAACGGATATTATTATTTCTTATGAACCAAACCTGAACCTTTATTCATGTCCAACACTAAACCAAACATAAACCAATATTCATTTTAAATCAGATCCCTGATTTAAATAGTATTAATTAACATACTATACTATATATATTAAATATCTATATTTTTCTTTATATAAATAATATATAGACCTAGGAAATTAATATCAAGATCTTTATCCTCGTTGTAGGTAAAGGCTATATTTTTTTACAAGTCCTCAATTAAATATTGCCTACATATCTAATTTGACCCAGGTTTCAGTTCACATGAAAATTGGAAGATAAAATATTATGCTATATTAGGAAACCATAGATTTTAGAAAATATCACAACAATATTGATAAAAGAGTGAATTGGATCTGGCATCCATATCACATGGTTTATTAATTTTACAAATTTTGAACTTTTTTTCCATAAAACTCTAGATATATCACTTGAGTAATGGAGTATAATAACTCAAATTATCATCAATTTGATATTATTATTTTTGAAATTAATTATTTCAGGAAAGAATAAGTAAATATTAAAATTATAAATTAGAGCATATGGTTTTAATGTAAATTTAATCATGAATATTGTTAATATATAAAACATATATGAGAGATAAAATACCCATCTTATATTAATCCCTTCTTTAATATCATCACTCAATGTCATAAGTTCAACTTTATTTTTGACATTTGTACCAGCAGATGTTTTCCAGTTTGAACTTTTCCATTTAGGCATCCACTTTGTGATTGCTAATAAAATTATAATACATTTAAATTTAATCTTATGCTTTAACAACTAAGGTAATCTAATATTTTAACCTTTAAGTTTAAATTTTTAAAGAAACAAAAATTATATATACAAAAATCAAAAGATTATAAAAAATTATTATAATATAATGCAGTTCAATACTAAATATAATACTTACAATTAATCAGTAAAAGGCTATCTGTATGTATTTCTAGGTTTTCAATTCCAAGTCTTTTAGCTTGTAATATAGCTATATGAGCTGCTTTAATTTCTGCTTTGTTATTAGTAGGTTTATCAGGTGCATTACAAGGTGTTTCAAGATTTTTAAAAGAACTAAGTTCAATCTCATTTTCAAAAAGAGGTTCACTGACATTTTTAATATCATCTGGACCCCAATAAACACCTATACCACCACGAGCTCCATCTAATCCATTAGAAAAACAGCATCCATCAACATAAACCTTCACATAGTTTACTTCATTTATATCTTTATATTATTATATAGTCATACTATTTTAACACTTGTACCTAAAGATTTTTTATTTCGTTTCTGTCTTTTTGGTGATATTAATTTTTTCTGATTATTTTTGATAAAAAATTGATTGTCCTTCTTAAGTATGACTTTCTAAATATTAAATAATTATTTAGCAAGTTTCAAACCATTAATTACTTCAGTTTGAAGGGAATCTAAAGTAAATAGTAATAAAAATATAAAATATCAATTACTCTTATTGCCATGCAAAAATTCCAGTGCTTCATTTTCTGTATTAAATTTCTTGAATGATGCATTTGAAAAACCTTTAACCATTTGTTTACAGTCATCCCTATTTATATTTTTCTTACATACAATATATTTTGATAAATAACTAACCATGTTAAATATATTCCAGGTTTAATTCCATTTTTAACAGCATACCATGGCATGACAGAAGGTAAATTTGAGAATCTAAATATATTTATATTTCTAGTTAATACTTAAAAATAATCATTAGAGGTAGGCATTCATATTATGCTTACATACTGCGTAATACTCATATATAATTTTTGTTGAAACTATAAAAAATTTGATCATACAGATTCACATTTCAAATTTTATAAAATGAATAGAAGATTTTCTATCGGATCTCGACCAGTACTAGACTTTGACCGGCCTTTCTATAGCCATGTTGGAAAATACAAATTGATATAAAGAATGAAAACCACAATTACATTTGATAATATGCTAAAGTTTAACTATAAATTTTATAAAGTCTGAATTTAATGCGTGTATTAATTCTCCAAATCTGGATTTGTCAAATAATAGGGGAAAAACACATGAGCAAAGTTAATTCTGAAGAAGTTGAATATTTAAAAGAAATAGTTGGGCAATTCTAAGTCTAAATACGGTGCATACATTTGATATATATAACTTAGAAAGAAGACACATTGATATTTCAGTTGTTGTCCTCCACGTTCATCATTGTGCCTTCTAAATTTAAGTCAAAATTATATAGGTTGCCGAATTATGATTCCTATAGAACTATCAAATTCTCACTTTCTTATTACCCTTTAGTTAAAATTTTAATTTTTTTAGTTTCATCTGGAAAGATTTTTTATTATTATGCTATTCAATAGATATACATATAAATTTATACGAATAAAAAAGAATAGCATCTTCATAAGTCGAATAAATAAAATAATCAACGTTTCATTGTAATGTGAATTCTTCAGATAAAATTATGGAAGTTTTACTCAATTTAAATTATCATCAATTTAAGTGTATCGTCTCTGATGGTGATACCCTATAAATAATTTTCAAATATATTCTTTTTCTCTTATAATTCTTTAACATAATTAAACGTCAAATTTAAGAATAAATAAATGGGTCATTTTATTACAAGATCTTTTTCAGTATAATAATAATAATAATCAAAATACTCTTTCTAACTGTTAAAAAATATTTAGATTATATGCATACAACATGCACAATACGTCTTTATATTAAAACAAATGGTAATAAATAATATATATGCGTAACATAGTATACAATTTATAAATTTTTTATTTTAACTCTGATGCATAAATCAGTTAAACGCTACTTTTAAAAGTAGCGTGCTACCGCTATCGCTATTTGTCAAAAAAAGTAGCTCTCTATTAGCTACTATTTTTTAAAAGTAGCTTTAGCTACTTTTTAAGCTACTTTGTATAAAAAAAATTTACAAACAAATTTTTTATTTTTTGCTTCTAGTGTTATTGTATAGTAAATATATAAAAATCAACATTTGTAAATATTAAAATATAATTAGTTTTGATTAAAAAAAAATTATGTAATAAAAATAAATATTTATGGTAATTTATTGCATTTTAATAATAAAATCTTTTCAATATTATCATCCTCAAGTCTAGAGCGACTATCAGAAAGTATAAGTTTTGCCTTATTAAATAATCTCTCTACACTACCTATTTTTAATATAAGGTAGATTATCAATAATTTTATTTGCAAGTACATCGTATTCTGGCATCCTATTATCATTTTGAGGGCTAATGCCACAGATCTTCTTTTTAAAGTTCTAGGTCTAGCCAATGGCCTGTGATTACCATATAAGCTCAAAAATATTTAATCAGATCAATTTATAAATATAAATAAGTTTTTACCTTCCGTTATGTGTTCAACTATCTCTCGTGGTAGATGTATATGATATCTCTGATAACTCTACTATTAGAGCATCTTTCATCATTTTAAAGTTATCTGCTATTTTATTCATTAGTATCTGGCGGCATAAAATTGTTGTACCAGGGGATAGAGTTTTAATTATCGTGGTAAATGATGGATTATCAATTAAGGACATTGGCTGAACTGTATAAATTATAAAATCAACAATAACTTTATCGGCCAATTTCTGAGAAATATTGTCATTTGCATTATTAATTAATTTGGTTTTGAAGTAAGCTATTCAAATTAATTATTTTTTAAAATATTTTATTGTCTTCTATATCTAAAAACATAGTATATATATATAAAAAAAGTTAATTGAAAAATATATAATATCACGTTTTTGTGAATAGTTAAATTATATCAAACACATCAATTTATAATATAAGATTAACTATTCAAATTTAAGATTAATTCTTTAAATTTATATATGATCAATCAACATTCCCCCTCTTCAACAAAGAACGAAGCTTCTTCTCAGCAGTCATCGAGAGCTTGTTGTCCCAGAAGTTTTTTCCCGTTTCGATTGTACTCGGTTTTATCTTGGCTAGCGCATAAGTCTCAAATGTTCTCGTAGGCTTGATTCTATCACGTAGGTTTGATAAAATCGTTTATTAGAGTTGCGTGAGTTTGTACATTTTTTGTAGGCTTGATATCCTTATCGTATGTTGTTCACATTTCTCAAAATTGTTATTATCATGTTTCATAATTAATCCAGTCGAATATTGGAATTTGGAATAAATCGGAATATGTAATTTGGAATAGTTGATCAAATCAAATATATGAATAATATGTACGAATAAAATTTTGAATTTCGGAACAATAAAATATATAATAAGGAATGATAATTTATGGAATAAGGAATAAAATAAGGAATGATAAATCATAATGATTATTATATTATTTTTATTAATCATAGCGTTTTATATTTTTAGCGTTTTATGCGTTTTATATTTTTAAATTTTAAGCACGTAATCTTTTAAGTAATCAGGTTTATTTTTAATTCTTATTGGTCTAATAATTGGTATCTTAATCTCATTCTTCGTGTCCACACTTCCCCCCTTAGAGGAATTCTTAGGGTCAATTTCATAATATTTTAAACTGTTTTAACATTCTCTTTTCCTTAACTGATCAAGATGCCTTCTTACTATCCCTTTATCAGTATAAACTTGAAACATGGTGTTATTCTCTTTAAGCTTGATGCTGCCTTTGCACCACGTATTATCACCCTGTTTCTTACACCAAACATAGTCTCCTCTATTAAAAGTTCGATTTCGTGGTAACGACATGAAGACTTCACCAACTTTATCCTCCAAAGGTTTTAATAAATCCCACTTTATTCTAATGTCGCGGTTAAACATTCTCTTGGACGGTGTAACTCCCGTAGTGTCATTCGGCGTGTTTCTATAGTTGAACAAAAATCTGTCCAGCGCAGTTTGTCAATCTTTATGTTTCTTTTCATATGAGCTTTAAATGTTCTCATCATACGTTTAGCTTGTCCATTAGATTGCTGATGGTAGGCCGACGTTAGTACATGTTTTATACCATAATTGCTGCAAAATTTTTCAAAATCTTTGCTCGTGAAATTGGTACCATTATCTGTAACAATGGTTTCAGGTATACCAAATAGTGAAATAGTTTTATAAATTTCCTTTAACGTGAATTCAGTCGTAATACTCTTTACCGGAACTATAACCGGAAATTTACTGTAAGCATCAACGATTATCAACCAATTCTTTGTAAAAAACGGACCCGCATAATCTATGTGTATCCTTTCAAATGGTTTAGTTGCTGCTACCCATGGCTTGTATTTTCTTTGGATTGTCATGATAAATATTACAATCATCGCAACTTTTGACTTCCAAATCAATGTCGTTGACCATACCAGACCACCACATACAATCTTTGGCTAAGGATTTAATTTTACCTGCTCCCAAATGACCTTCGTGTAACGCCTTCAGTATGTTCTTTCTCAGACTTGACGGAATTATTATTTTGTCGCTTTTGTACAGACAATCTTTAATGATACTTAGTTCGTATTCAATATTTTCATAAATTTTATTTTGGATAGGCACATTATTTCTTATGTCACTCATAACTTGAGATAATTCAAAAACTTTGGACGTTTCATTACGTATTCGGTCAAAACTAAGAGGTATATCGCCAAAGTCATTTATAATAGCGATATCATCAATAACGTCATCATCAATTACTTGTGGTAGTCTTGAGAGGCAATCGGGAACAACATTGTATTTACCAGCTTTATATCTGATGTTAAAGTCGTAACCCCCCAAAATTATACTCCACTTCTGTAACCTTAATGACATGGTGCTATTATCTTTGAGCCCTTTGGTAAAAATATGGATTAGCGGCTTGTGATCCGTTACAATAGTGAACTTAGTCCCTATCAAGTATTCTTGAAATCTCTTGATAGCAAACATAATGGCTAGAGCTTCACGCTCAATATTGGTATAATTTGTTTCGGATTTTGCTAAAGTTCTTGATGCAAAAGCTATCGGGTTTTCTTTGCCATCTTTTTCAGTGTGAAACAAAACAGCTCCTAAACCTCTTTTAGATGCATCAGTCGCAATTCCGATAGGTAGTTCAGGATTAAAGTACGTCAAAGCTGGAGGAAGACTAATCAATGTCTTTAGATCATCAAAACTTTTGGAGTGTTCCAAATTCCACTCCCACTTTTCTTTGTTAACAATCTTGTATAAAGGATCAGCTATTTCAGCGAAGTTGTTCAAAAATTTTCTGTAGTACCCGGCCATACCTAAAAACGTTGACAATTCCGCGGCTGATTTTGGTTCCGGCATTTTAACGATCACCTCGATCTTGTTATGGTTGGTGTGGATCCCCTTGGCGTCGATGTCGTGTCCTAAGAACCTTAGACTTTTTTTGAAAAATAAGCTTTTTGCAAAATTAGGCACTAAACCATGAGATAGTATTCTTTCAAAAACCTTCTTTATGTTGTTGAAATGAACTTCGTCACTACCTTCGTCACTACTTCCCGTAATTAGTAGATCATCATTATAAAATATGACATCTTTCATGTCACCGAAAATTTGATCCATAATTTGTTGAAAAATCGCAGATGAAGTCTTTAACCCAAAAGGAAGTCTGGTAAACCGGTAGTACCCCCTGTGTGTAGATATAGTTAATATGTCTCTGCAGGTTTCGTCGATGGGAATTTGTAGGAACGCATCCTTGAAATCTATCTTAGTGAACTTCTTCCCTTCCTTGAGCTTAGCGATAAGATCATTTATTCTTGGAAGTGGGTATCTGAAGTCCTCAAGGGCTGGGTTGACAGTGTCTTTGAAGTCGGCGCAAACCCTAACGCTCCCATTATCCTTGTAGACAGCGGTTATCGGACTTGCCCATCGGACTTGCCCATCGGACATCTGTTACCGGCTCAATGACTCCATCTCCTATCTATCTCATAAGTTCTCTAGTAACAGCGTCTATCTTTGAATAAGGTAACCGTCTAGGTGGTATGATTTTCGGTTTGGCGTCATTACGTAGATATATCTTGACATTCCCTTTGTTGATCGGTTTTTTAGTCAGTTTAGATTCGCAATCTTTTATTAATTTCTTTATTTCATCTTCATAGTTGGTATCAATGTTTGCTATAAATTTGTTCAAAATATTACTAAAGGCATTAATCCACATACGTCCCAATAACGCATTTTTATTAGATTTAACGACCACGGCTTGCAAGTGTTTGGTGATACCTTCGTAGGTTACTGACGCCAATAATTTTGATTAAGTTTCCATCATAAGCTGTGAGTTGTAGAGTGGACTTTTTAAGATCTTTAATACCAATTTGTTTAGCCATATCATGAGGTATAATTGTAAACTTGGATCCCGTATCAACCTGCATAGTAACAGCAGCATCATTTACTTTTAAAGTAGTCATGAACGCATTATAATTAAGTTTAAACTCAGTTAAATTGTTGATATTAAAATCACATACCATTATTATTTTGTGTAGGGTTATTTTTTTTAACAATCTCTTCAATGTTCATGTTACAATTGATGTTACTTTGATTCATGTCATTATATTGTAATGGTTTTCTTTGATTAATATTTTGATTATAATTTTTCCACGTATTATTTTCTCCATTATTGTTGTTATTGTAGGATTGATATTGATAACCATATCGATTATTATATTGACTCTGATTTCTTTGATTGTTGTAAGACCAGGAATTGTTTCTCCCATTATAATTATTGTTTTGCCAAGTACCTCTACCATAATTGTTTGAATTGTTATTGTATTGCCAGGCATTGTTTCTATCATAATTGTTTGTATTAATGTTGTTGTGCCACATGGAGTTTCTTCCGTAATAGTTTGAATTGTTATTCAAAGATTGGTTATTACGAAAATTTCTAAAGTTACCCTCACTGTCTCGAAAAATATTATTTTCATAGTTTCGGCTAGCACTATCATTAGGCCTAAAATCATTATAATTCCTCTTCTTAAAATCAAAATTTTCCCTACGAGTGTTACGTCCATTATAATTAAAATTATTTTCTCTAAAATTATTATGTTCATAATCATTAGAATTATTCTCATTATTACTAAAAGTACTTTTGCATGGTATTTTATCCATGTTTCAATTGTAAAATTTTTTATTTTTATCAAATTTTTTATCATTGTCTACATAATTTGTATCGCTAACGTCTGGTTTAATATTGCTGCCATCTAACTCCACTCCTAATTTCATCATCTTATCTAAGCCTTCGTGCTTATGTTTATTTAACTTCTTTCTGATATTATCATTTAAAGAACAAGTTATTAATTTCTCAATCATTCTTGTATCGTTATCAAAATCGCATTTTTTATGAAGTTTTGAAATTCTAAAATAAAAAGTATGGAAGGACTCCTCGGCACCTTGTACCGCTAAGTTAAAGTTCTTTATATTTACATTAATGTCCTCACTTGGAATTAACAGTTTCAATTTACCAAAAACAATATTAAAGTCTTTTAACTGTGCTTTAGAACATATCGACGTAACTTGGTCTACAATCTCAATTGGTAAGCTACATAGTAGTGTCCTAACTTTAGATGAGTCTGACTCAATATGTCCTTCAAAGTATGTTTCTATTAAGTTAAGATAAGTCTCAGATAATTTTCCTGATAACTTGGGAAATTTAGGAACATATTGAGTGTGTGTAAGAGTTAATTTTTCGTCCATGATAAAATTTTATTTGAGTAAAGTAAACTTTCTATATTTAAAATCGTCAAAGCAAAACATTGTAGTATCATTAAAAGCAAATTTAAGTTGTATAAAAATTTTAATTTTAATCAAGAGAATGTGGTCCACTAAGTTTCAATAGTTGATCTATAAAAATTCTAATTCAAATTCGTAAAAAGGATTTAATCCACTAAGTTTCAATATAATTTGTCTGTGAAAAATTTAATTCTAATTCGTAAAGAGGATTTAGTCCACTAAGTTTTAGAAGGAAAATTAAAAAAATTTTATTGATATTCTATAGGTTAAACATCGCGTAAATTTATATTTAATAACGTAACATAGGGAAAATTTTCTATACCCTATAAATATAGTATGTCAAATATGTAAAGCGTAAAGATATTTAAATTTTAATATTTAAATTTTAATATTCCGTAATTTCACAAGATATAAAAATGAAATTATTTTCACCCCATTTAGAGACATATAGGTATCAATCATTTTTCGTAAGGACTTTAAATAAAAGACAATTTCATTCATTCTATTATCACGGACATAAGAGAATTCATTACATACTCCCATTTCCTTCAACATTTTATCGATAATTATGCACTGAGGTATATTATAAGCTTTAAAACAAAACATCATAACGTAAAAATGCAAAGATTCCGATGAAAAAACTATTTTTTATCATATTACTCTTTTTATTTATATATATATATATTTTATTTTCTCTTTTTTTTTTTTTACCTTTTATGATTTTGTAAATTTGGATAAAGTTTTGACTATCGAAAAGAAAAGTCAAAAAAATTTTATATGTCCTTTTATCATCTCCAATATCGAACGACGAATTTGATAAGTAATTCCTTTACTTTTTATTTTTACAAAAGAATTCAAGGTAAGGATATTTTTTTTAAAATTTTTTTAAACTTTTATTATTTACTTTATTTTATTTTTTTAAAGAGAAAGAAAAACGAAAAACGTACCTCCGTAACCGGGGCACCATGAAGTAAGCTATTCAAATTAATTATTTTTTAAAATATTTTATTGTCTTCTATATCTAAAAACATAATATATATATATAAAAAGTTAATTGAAAAATATATAATATCACGTTTTTGTGAATAGTTAAATTATATCAAACACATCAATTTATAATATAAGATTAACTATTCAAATTTAAGATTAATTCTTTAAATTTATATATGATCAATCAACAGGTTTGAATTTAATTAGTCTTTTTGGATGTAGATTCGCCTATACCAAAATTATTTAGATGTTTCTCGATTTCCTTAAAACCCATGAACAGTCTTATAAAATAAATATTATTAGAATGTAAAAATGACAATTTACCTTTAGGTGTTTCTTGAGGTTATAGCTACTGGATTGATTTGAGGAAAACAAATAAATTTGAAACCAGTTTTGGTTATATATTTATTTTAAAAAAATTTCAAATCTAGGGAATGGGAAATTTGTATTATAGCTATTAAGAACATTTTTTCCCTGGTATCTTCCATTTCATTAATATCATTGTCTGAATCACTTTAAACGACTTGGATATCCATAGGCGATGACATTTTAAATTATTAACACGTGATTTAGGTTTATAATACAAATGAAAATATAAATTACAAATCGAAATTATATTTTAATTTCAAAATTAAATATAAATCATAAAAATTATAATTAATTATGATATTAATTTAAATTTTCATATTTACACTTACCTTCATTATATTTTTAAAAGTAGCGAAGTAGGGCTACTTAGCTACTTTCAAAAAGTAGCGCGCTAAAAATTAAATAATTACAAAAAAAGTAGCCGCTATTAGCTATAGCTACCAAGAAAGTTAGCGCGCTACTTTAACAACTCTGATTTAAATATCTCCTAGTTGTCGGTCATTATAATCCAACAATGACATATATAATACCTAGACTGACGATTCATTCATTAAATGTGTACATCAATGCAAATGAGCTTGACGCCATCTTGGTTACACTAATCTTTATTAAAATTTTAAACGAAAGCCTAATTTATTCCTATATCTGATGCAAACTTTATTAAAGAATTACCGGATCATCAAGATAATAAGGAAGCAAGTTATCAATTTATTAGTAGTATTTAACATGAGAAGAGTTACTATATGTGTTACCAAAATGGCGGGTCCAGCTGATTTGTTTTAACGACACTTAAAAATGCATTTTAATAAATGAATCGTCAGTCTAGGTATTATATATGTCATTGAATCCCATATGATGGTAATAGTTGCTTTTCCGTAGCTTGGTTGAACATCTTTGTTTGAATACTTAAGTAGCATCAATCTTACAGCCTGAGGCATTAGTTTGTTTCCCAACGGATTTGTTAAATATCATTGTCCAAATGGAATGAGATGTGAGAGAAAAATGGAAGAGAGAAAGAATGGGATGGTGATGAGACCGGCAAAGCTGGCATTCCCTTCCTTTAGGAAGTTTATTGTGACAGATTTTATGCCCAAAAGTTAAGATTTTGATGAGTCTATTTTGGTCTATAGATTATGGTCCTTTTCAAGGCTGACCCAAGGATCTTTTAGTAGGGATATCTTTTTATAACTTATCAGAGCAAAATATCCTTGGATCAGCACAAACTCGAAAAAAATTAAATAAAGTTCTAGTCGATTGGTGCAGCCATTCATAGATGCCATCAAGGTGTTCTCCAATGGATGTTTATATATACTTATATTTGATGACATCCATGAATCGCTACACCAATCCTATACTAGGATTTTATTTAGTCCTTTTGTGCTAGCCCAAGAGGATCTTTTGCTCTAATAAATGATTACCCATTATTAGTATTTATTATACTAATATTATTAATATTTATTATCCTAATAGGAGTGAGTGCATACTTTTTTTATAATGGGAGGATTGGCTAGCAACTCAAAATTTTTTCTATTGGGGAGGGGGAGGGCATGCAAGCAGTGAGACAAGCTGTTTCTTATGAGTTTAATTTTTTTATTAATAGGTGTTGGTAATAAGTTATGAGTTTATGAAGTTTTTATTTTTAATAAATATATCTATTTATTTGTTTATATTTGTTAGTATCTTTCTTGATTTGTTCATTGGCTGAGATGTACAGAACTCCTTTTGACTTAATAGAAGGAGAGTCAGAATTGTTAGGAGTTGTTGAATTTTATTCAAGTCATTTTGCTTTAATTTTTATAGCGGTGTATATTTCGATTATACTATTTCTCATTACTTGTGAGAATTATATGATTCTCACAAGCAGTGAGAATGAGTTGTGAGAGGCTCAAGAATAGTCATTTATCTCTCAAGATTATTTTCTTTTATATTTTTGTTTATTCTTGTGTTATACAATCGATTTTGATATGATAAGTTTATAATTTCGTAGGGGAGTTATTACCTTATATTATAATTATAAGACTATGGATTTTAATAATTTGATAATCTAAGGGATACTTTACTAAGTTTTTTTAACAATTAATGTCAGCAGGATATAGATAGGGGATGCCAGAAAAATAATTTAATGATTGTTGCAAGTGAGTGCAAACTTGAGTTGATGTTGTGTATAGAAAGTTGATTAATTTATTATCGATGTTAATTAGATCTCTCACTTAGAATTCTTATTATAGTGGAATCTAAATAAAAGAAAGAATAAAATATATTTAAATAAATTAGGATAAATATATATATAATATAAAAAGAAAACGAATTAATGAACTTGACGATTTTATTTCGATAATGAATCAAATATAAAATTTAGAAAAAATTATCATAAAAAGTTTAATTGTCTATAATGGTAAAAAATTAGAATTAAATTATTTACAGTTATCGCTATTCAAAAATATATTTAAACAATTTATAAACTAAAAAAAACTAAATATTCAAATCTATTTTCAATTTGCTTTTTTCTGTTTATCATAAATATAATCTACCGTTAAACATGAAAATTACACAACATAAAATTTGAATATATCGACAAATATTATAATATAATTAAACATACTTATAATAAGAAAAATTTGAATATATCGATAATTATTATAATATAATTAAACGAACTCATAACAAGAAATATTTGCATAAATAAAATAATATGGTCTAACTATCTACATACTCACCACAATGATGTATCCCCTTTTAAAATTTTTTAACTATTTTAAAATCAGATTCAAATCATATATTGCTCATAAGATTCAGAAAATAGCTTACTTTAATTATGATTACCTATTATTCCATAATTAAATCATGATTTTTAATATTTAGTAAGAAAGATGCCATAGTGTAAAGGAAGGGGATGCCAGAATAATAATTTATTTGTATACCACCTTTTGAAAAATTTTAAACTATTTAAAAATCAGATGGAAAATCTTATATTGCTGATAATATTCAGCAGATAGTTTTAATTTAGTAAGAGTTAGTTA